TAGACCTGGAGAGTACTGTGCTGAGCAAAATAAGCCAGAGAAAGATAAGTGTCACATGATCTCACTCATATGTGGAATCTAATGAACAGAATAAACTGATGAACAAAATAGAGCTACAGACATAGAAGCAGAGAACTGATGAATTTCAGAGGGAAGGCGGGGGTGGGTGGGTGGTCAGTGATTAACCAGGGAATTTATATGCATATATGGACACAGACAATAAAGTGGTGAAGGCCTGGGAGTGGCAGGTGCAGGGTGGAGGGGGTCAATGGGAAACAAACAAACAGAACATCTGTAATAGTTTCTACAATAAAGAAAAAAATGGGTTTAAAAATTGATTTTAGAGAAAGGAAGGGGAAGGGGAGAAAGAGAGAAACATGGATGGATTGCCTTCCGTACGCACCCCAACCAAGGATGTACCCACAACTTGGGGTGCCCTGACCAGTGAGTGATCTCTCGGTGCACAGGGTGACGCTCAACCAACTGAGCCACACCAGCCAGAGCTAAACCCCATTAAAAAAAAATCCTCATCCAAGGAGTGAGTATATACTTTTTTCTCATTGATTTTTAGAGGGAAAGGAGGGGTGGGGAGGGAAGGGGAGAGGAGAGAGGAGAGGGAGAAACACTGATGTGAGAGAGACACGATTGGTTGCCTCCTACATGCACACTGACTGGGAGCAGGGATCATCAAACCTGCAACCCAGGTGCGTGCCCTTGACCAGGAATGGAATTTGAGACGCTTCGGTGTACGTGTTGACACTAACCATTGAGCAATGCCGGACAGGGCTGGACTCCATTTTTTAAAGACCTATGCCTGGTTTTTCTGGGAAACTAAAGGATAAACAACAGCTGGAGAATAGATGAACTGGTATCTGGATCCTAACCTTCATAACAATACTAACTTAGCCATCTGCCAGGAATAGCAGCTTGAAAACAATGCCCCGCATTTAGATGGTGCTTTGTAGCATTCCCGGCGACCAGTTATTAACTCCTGAGCTCGTCTGCAGAAGAGAAGCAGCCATTTTCCAGGTGAGGCCCAGGTCCACGACAGCAAGGTGACCTGGCCAAGCTGCGTCGGTGTGAGGGTCACCGAAGCTACCACTCATTCCACAGCAACAGTGGTGCTTGCGTAGGCCCACGTGTGGGCTTCAGCCATGGGACTTCTCACCGAAGGGCCCCAGGGCCCAGAGAATAAAACTAAAATGTCTGCTGAAGAGTCTAGCTAGCTAGACATTGAAACTCCTAATTAAAACAAGGGAAGCACACAGCAGGCCGGGTAAATTTAACATGTGGAGCTTTCTCTTTAAAAAATGTACTCTCTCTTCTAAACACAGTATATACTTTACTAAATTGTAACTCTTTCCTCTCAAGCACAGCTAGACTTTGTTCCTAGACTCAACAAACGCTTAAACAATATTCGGCAGAAGAAATGTTCTTGAAGGTTTCTAACATGAAGAAATCACATTCCTCAAGGTGAGGTTAATGAGAAAGTCCCAAGGACCACTCTGGAAGGCAGAGCGCCCTTTAATCCGTAACTTCAAGACACGGAGGCCAGGCATACCGTGGCCACCAGATCTAATGGGAGACACGCTTTCACGGCCCGCATGCATGTGCAGGTCAGGAGGGAACAGCGGAATTCATCCTCACCCAGAGACAGCTAAGAAAGCAGCTCCTTCCGCCCAAACGGGGAGGGCCGTGCACAGGCTGGTTACCTGGTTAAGCAGCAGCTACCAGTCCCTGTTCTTCAGGACGTCAGAGAAATTTCTGGTTAAGTTTTATGTTGCCCTTTAGTCCTCAAGATACATCAAGGTGTTCTCACTATTCATTAAGGGCCTAACTTTCCTTATAAGGAAAACACTCCACAGCCTCCCCTCATTCATTTTCTGCTGCTTAAATAACATTTTATGGGTAAGGCAGAGGGTTAAGTCTGGTTTCAGCTGATCCTACCAGGGAGCTGACATTTCTTCATACAAACAGGTTCCTCAAAGACCAGCAGACACTGTCCTGGTCATCACCTCGTCTACACACAGCAAGGCCTCCTGCTGCTGGCAAAAGAACCCGAGAGATGAGACTAAGGATTCAAGTCCCCAGACTCTGCCTTTCTTGCTCACCAGGCCTCCAGGTGCTTGGCGCCCCGTGCACCCGGCACCTTACCTGCCCGCCTTCCAGCCTTGTCTCAGGAGTGGGACGCAGCAGAACTGAGAGCGGTGCTCTGCTCTACACAACTTTTCTGATACAGTGGCAGCCACAACCACAGGCTGTGCATCGACTGTGCTCGAGAGGGGACGTCACGACAGGGCAGCAAGCTGTCCGGCCTCGGCTGAGGGTGCGCTGGTGGCCGGCAGAGGCTGAGACAGGGGCAGGGAGCGCTCAGCACAGCTGAAGAGTCTATGAAGGCACCGAGGGAGAAGTCCAGAGTAACTTCCGGGTCTAACTCGGGACACCAGTTGGGCCGGTGGAAACGTGGACCTGCATCAGGGATGCAGGAGGAGAAGCAGATCTGAGGAGGGTGGGAGGACGGGTGAGAAGGTAAGTTTGATTTTAGACTCCTGTCTTTATTTGTTCTCGGTGTTTGAGGAATTTCTACGATTTGTCAGGTGCTACATGAGATGTTGGGGATATGGCAACAAGCAAATTAGACTCACTTTCCACCTTCTTGGAGTTTATGTTCTAGTGAAACAAACAAACAAACAAACAGATTAAACAACAATATGTACTAACCGCAACCATGACAGGAACGTTTCAGAGGAAAAGCATCGGGTGCTGTGAATGTGGAACAGCGGCGTTCAGTCAGTCAGGGGTCAGGAGAGCTGTTTGAGGGTGTGACACCGAGGCTGAGCCCTGAAGGTGGGCAGGCTCGCAGGTCTGGGGGAAGGATGCCCTGAGCAGAGGGTGGAGGATGTGTGCCAGCTCTGGTGAGGAAGAGGGCCTGTCTCGTTCCCGGAGTGCGGGGGAAGCTGGTGTGAATGGAGTCCAAGCGGCGGGGAGGGTGGGTGGTGGTGAGAGTGGACCATGGTCAGTGCTGTGTGCAGGCACTGAGGCTGGAGAGAGGAATTTGGAAAGCTAGGCTGAGTGGGTGAAGTGAAATGACCTGATTCATTCTGGCTGCTGATGGCGGAGGGACGGCTAGCAAGGCTGCAGGATCTTGCAGGAACCCCTTCACAAAACTAGGGCCAAGTGGATACCTTCTAGGGCAGTGATGGCGAACCTTTTGAGCTCGGCGTGTCAGCATTTTGAAAAACCCTAACTTAACTCTGGTGCCGTGTCACATATAGGAACTTTTTGATATTTGCAACCATAGTAAAACAAAGATTTATATTTTTGATATTTTATATATTTAAATGCCATTTAACAAAGAAAAATCAACCAAAAAAATGAGTTCGCGTGTCACTCTGACACGCGTCATAGGTTTACCATCACTGTTTTAGGGGAACAAGCCCCACAGTCTGAATTCTATTCTTGGCCAGACTTCCTCCACAGTCCTCCACAAGCTGCTTCTTGAACTAAGCTGTGCCAACAGTGACCCCAGACCGACTGGGACTGGGGAACCAGGAATGAGGGCTGCTTTTCTCACATGGTTTCAGAAGGGACTTTATTATTATTTTTAGAAGATTCTTTTTCAATTTTGGCTCTTCAGATAATTTCTCGCTGAATGTTGCCTACAAAGTAGGACACACCTTTAACAAGCACCTTGAACTCTCACATCCTTCCCACTACCCCGCAGTTCTGGCTCTGTCTGGGTTCCAAACTCAAACATCTCCTGGTACAGGGTGCTTTACACACACACACCTCTCATTCAATCTTCACAAGCAACTCCAAAGAAGTACTAGAACATTAGCCCCATTTTAAAAAATAGAATGTTAAGAAAAAGTATGTTTTTATTGATTTTAGAGAGAGAGAAAGGAGAGGGATAGAGAGATAGAAACATCGAGAAACATCACATTGATTAACTGCCTCCTGCACACCTTCTACTTGGGATCAAGCCTGCAACCTGGGCATGTGCCCTGAGTGGAAAATGAACTGGGGACTATTGGTTCATGGATCGATGCTCAACTACTGAACCACACCAGCTGGGCCCTATTTTATTATTATTTTTAAGTGAGAAAAGGAAGGCTCAGAGGCATATTAACTTGTTAAGGTCACAGAGCTATGGACTCAAGTTTGCATGATTCCAAATCTACTTGCTCTTTCTCCTCATGTGTGCCAGCAGTGTTTGCTAGCAAGAACAGGCCATTGTTTACTGGAAAACGCGAGGGCACGAGGGTATGAGATAACCCTGAGGCTATAATGGGCATCTGTGTAAGGAAACCACAGATGAAAGATCATCAGGGTCTGGAAGGTGTAAACCCCAGCCACAGCTGTGTAGGACATGGGCTTCCCCGTGCTTCCTGGAAAGCTGGAAATGACCCATTAAGACACAGGATGGACTGAGATTTCTTAATGAAGATAGGAACCTTCTAATCACGGAGCAACCGTAGACTGGACTCATGAGGAAGTGGCTGTTCCTGCCGCCTTCAGGCAGCTGCATGTCTGGCGGCACAGAAGGAAGTGTTTTTAGGTTCCCATTACAGACAGGCTCCACAGGAGTGCCCCACTGAACTAAATATATCAGTTACTTGGTCCTCTTCAACCAGCCCCTGGGCCTTTACTTTTAAATACTTGCCACTCACTTCTCTAAGGTAGCCAGGATGGTGACTCGTGAAGATCTGTCAATGACAGTGCTGGAGATCAGCACCCCCACACACTACTCTGGGTCCAAGTCCTGTTCCGAGTGACACTGGTAACGGAGATGATTTCTGCACTGAAGGAACAGTGGCACCTTCAAACCCCGCTCCCCCACCCCTCCCCCCAACAAACACCTCCCAGAGCAGCGGTCGCCAACCTTTCGGACCTCGCAGACCTGACCACCATCCTGGAGTGTCCACAGCGACCAGGCTCTGTTCTCAGCCAAAGATCGGTGAACGACAAGGCCCCGGCCGTCCTAGAGCCTACGTTCTGGGAGGGGGTGAGGAGACCACTGGACAGGTGAACATGTGCTCCGTGGGAGTGGCGTGGGCAGGATGCAGGCAGGGATGAAGGACACCTCGTGCAGAGCTGGTGTTTCAGCTCAAACCTGAAGGGTATCTGGTGGGGCAGTGGGTGCAGAATGAGGAGTCGCATGAGAGCTCAGAGAGGCAGCATCCCCAGCGGGCCTCACAGCTTGTCCAGGGCCGGTACGGCTGGCCTCCTGCCAGTGCCACACGCCCGACACCCTCAGCCATGCAATGCTCTGCCTAGATGTCCTTTCTCCTCTGGCAACATACACTCATCAGTTCCCATTTCAAATACCAGAGGTCTAGGAAACTCCCATGAGCTGGGAAAAGCTGGCATTCTTTTCCTGGACTCTGGGAGCAAGTGGCTCTCACTCCATGACAGCACCTTTAATAGTGTCTTGTAATTACCTGATTACATCACATCTCCAAGGAGCCAAGCACTCCTTGTAGCAAAGACTATGCCCTACTGATCACTGCAGACAGGCTTGAAATGGAGGGCTCAATTCATCTATGCAAAAAGAAAAAGTTCTCTTTGAGCATCTATTTTGTGCAATATGGAGATGCACTAGCGAGTAAGCCGCAAATTCTTGATTACAAGGAGCTTATTTACGATCCACCACACTATGCCTTAGTTACTTTTGAATTTCTAGGGCTTCACACCAGGTCTGACCCACACAAGGAGCTAAATATACAAAAAAATGACAGCATGACAGCGAGAAGGCAGTGGCAAGACAAAGCACACTCCCTGCTCCATGCAGAGGCCCCACCACTACTCCAGGGCCTTCACATGCAGACGGGGAAAAAGAACATCATTTCCTATCAGGTCTCCAAATTTATAATTGTGTAAAGTATAATGACGATTTGTCATTGTTGTTAATCGAGGATATTTTTTCCATTGATTTTTAGAGAGAGTGGAAGTGAAGGAGGGGAAGATGGAAGGGGAGAGAGGGAGAAGGGGGGGGGAGAGAGAATTGATGCGAGAGATATATCGATTGGTTCCTCCGACTCCTGCAACCAAGGTACGTGCCACTGACCAGGAATTGAAACCAAGACCCTTTGGTGCCTGGGCAGACCTCTAACCACTTACAACACCCGCCAGGATTATAATGATCATTTCATGAGAAAACCGAGTTATAGAGACACTTTCAGGTTAATTCATTAGGGTTTATGTTGTGAGGATACAGGTTATATATGTATTTTTCATCATGGTTCCTTCCTTTGCTCCCTAACTCCCTTCCCCAATCTAATGCACAAAACTGGAAAGATCAGTTAGCAGCCAAATGCTTGCAGATGGTGCTTGAGAAAGTACTGAATACATTTCTTTTTTAAAAAACGTATTTTTTATTGATTTCAGAGAGGAAGGGTGATGGACAAAGATAGAAATATCAAAGGTGAGAGAGAATCATTGACTGGCTGCCTCCTGCACCCTGGGGTGTGCTCTTGACGGGAATTGAACCATGACCTCCTAGTTCATGGGTTGATGCTCAACCACTGAACACCACCAGCTGGGCTCTTTTTTTTTATTTTAAATAATAGTTTATTGATTTTTAGAGAGAGAGGATGGGAAGGGAGATAGAAACATTGATGTAAGAGCGCAACACCATTGGCTGCCATCTGGGGAGCAAGCCTGCAACCCAGGCACACGCCCTTGACCAGGGATCAAACTGGCAACCTCTTGGTGCATGGGATGACACTCAACCAACTAAGACACACCAGCCAGGGCTGGATATATCTGAATTAACACGTTCCTTATTGACTTTCTCTTATAGCTTCCATGTGTGGACACTGATCTGTTTCCATGAAAGGAGCCTCTGGCGTAGGGGTGAGGTGGCAAACAAAGCTCCCCATGGGCTCTGGAGGTCAGCTGCCACCCAAAGTCTGACCGCAGGTTCTTTCCATCCCCACTGACTAGAACGAGAGGTCCCAGCCTGCCCAGGGCCACTTTCCTTACACGGCAAATGAAATTCAAACATTAATTCTTTTAGCACCATCTCACAATTATCTGATTGCATCACACCTCTCCAAGAAGCGGAGCTCTCTTTACAGGGGATTTCTGTCTTTTCCCAAAGTAAATCATCTCTTGGAGACAGGAGAACCTAGATTTCTAAATGCAGAAACTCAAATCTTTGCAAGGCTAGGTGACAGCTCTGGGCAGCATTACTGAGAAAAAGACTTTTGGGGGAAGATTTCACACTATCGCTGTTAGTGGTCATGCACTAAGTTAGGGGGATTGTAAATCAGGTGTGTTCTGGCTGTGACCTTACCATTCTATGTACAGAGCAGAGTCTGGAGAAAGAAATCCCCAAGTCTTACTCCGCAGACTAGTAAGGAGCCAAGCACTCCTTTCCTTTGGAGCCACCAGAAAGAAGTAGGGGTGATAATAAATTGAAACAGGCGGCCTCAACTTTGGTTTCTGTGCTAATGCTGCCCCCTAGAGTCAGAAAATTATAAAGGCACCGAGACCAGGTTTACACTGCTTGGGAGAGGGCAAGGCTGGAGAGGTACTGACTGGGAAAGAAAGCCAGCCATAACTGCCTGCCTTTTACTACCACAGGGAGCAGGACTTTTAAAATAAAGTAAGAGGTCAATGGTCAATGCTTTCAGGTATACATACAAGCTCTTTTGTTTTGCTAATCCTCACCGGAGGATATTTTCTCCATTGATTTTCAGAGAGAGTGGAAGGGAGGGGAAGAGACAGAGAAACATCAATGTGAAAGAGACACATTGTTGGTTGCCTCCCGCATACTCCCCAACCTGGACTGGATCGAGCCTTGCAATTGAGGTACGTACAGTGCCCTTGACCGGAATTGAACTGTGATCCTTCACGCCAACACTCTATCCACTGAGCCAAACCAGCTAGGGCTACAAGTTCTATTTTACCTTTACCGAAATAACACAAACAAAAATACCAATTCCTATATAGCAGTTAATCAAATACTGATGACTATTTCTCTCAAATGCCCATTTATATAAAAGAATCATTGGGACGCTATCAGCAACTCCCAAGGCAATGCCAGGAGGTGGACAGTTACGTCTTAAGGAGAAAACTACCGAAGGAAGAAGGCTAGTGCTGGGTGCAGAGAGGAAGTCCCTCACAACAGTAGAGTGGGGCAGGGGAAGGCCG